TAACGCCACATGCTACTCCGTTTATTTTCGGAAACAATTTATAGCATGTTATAGAAGTAAAAGAAGTAGGTATGTAAACCGTTCTTAGAATTTCAAGTTTCAACCAGATCATTTAAATTAAGGTGACTTGTTGAACAAAGGTGAAAGCTTCTTTGATTTGTTTTATATAGCGAAGGTTTATTTGTTTACACTAATATCATTAAGTAAAATGTCTCTCAAAAGTATAATATAGACACTTAAAAGCAGACTTTCTTTTGTATGTCTGCAATTGTTATCTGTAGAATCCATTTCTCCAGTAAGAAGTTTTTTTGTTTCTTTTTCTGTTTCGCTCTTTTTATCTCCCGTCTTTTGAATATTAATCATCATTTTTCATTCTAGATTATTGCCCTTGCAATGTTGATGCTTTGTATTCCTTACATTCCCCCTTGTTAATTTAATTTCATTTTATTTAAAATGAATGGAAATAACAAACCAATATGTGTAGTGTTGCCACCATTAACAGCTACTTCTTTACAGAGCTTCAACGTATTTATAATCGTTCTTTTTTAACATTTATTATTGTCCGAAGTTATATAAACTTAGGCTCGATTAAAACATTGTCGTTTACTCTACTAAATACATATTTAAAATTAATGGTTAAACATTTACTACATATAGCATACAATGGCGGTAGGGTTCTAGTGTAATAAATCATTTTTTGTGTGGAAACTGCTGCTTTCTTAACAACACATTGTTTAATTACCTTTAGAATATTACCAAAATAACTGGCACCATACTATAAATATGCCAATTATAATATACTTCCGGGCTTAATGTGATAAACTGCATAAAATGTTTCAATATGCGGTTTATAGGTGAAGGATTAATGGTTGAATTGCATAATTTTTTGTGCTTTGCATCTGAATGCTCTTGTTTGGTAAATGCAGTTGCTTAACCAAGGGTGTTGAATAACAGATGATATGGGCATATTTATTTCAACAAATTTGCGTTCCTTAAATTTCGCTTATGTACTGTGATTTTGTACATTTCTTCTGTGTATCTTGCAAAATACACATTTCTTCTGTAAATATTGATAGATATGTAGGGCATGCTATTAAATATCATATTTGTAAAATCTACTTAAATTCCTCTAAACTTGTTAATTGAAACTAAGCCTGCAAAGCAGAGTTTTGCAATTAAATGGTTTCCAAATATTGACATGAAATAAACCAGCTTTTGTATAGCTCCGGACTGAAAATAGCTCAGACTTAATTAATTTTAATGTGTTAGCCAACTATAAATGTAATAGTTTTAATGCAGGCAATGCAGGAAGAAAGGTTTGCCTGGTGACATCAAATAACGTAAATCAATTATATTCAAGAATATTGCATGTGATACATACAGACGGATTATTTTCATTGACATGAAACTGTTTGAAATGTTGCAAAAGCATGCAATTCGAGGAAACGATATGGTTAGGAAAATTGCCAGTTTGAAAGGAAATATGGCTCGGAAATACCGACATTAGTGGCCAAAAGCCCGGCAACTCTTTTCCTTCTTTTTGTCAGTAGTTCTGTTCAGTAGTGGCAATGAATTTAATGAATAGTGAAATTGATTTTCTGATTGCTCTCGGGAAAGCCATTGTTCACATGAAACGATTGTCTCAATAAGATTTTTTAGATTACATTCAGAAATCAGAAAGAAATGGAAACGTTTCAAGGAATTGTCTAGGAAGTCGATATCTAGAGTGCGGTTTTTATTTCTTGGAGAGATGCATTGATTAATTGTAATTAAAAACTAACAAAAAAATTCTTTTCTAACAAAGCAAACACACTGAAACAAGTTGTCCAGCGAGATCACCGGATCTCACTCAGTTGGATTTTTGTCTTTAGGGGTTAATGAAGTATTAGGTTTATACTAAGTGAACGCGATGGATTGGTTGCTAGTTCGCACTCTTAATGATGCAGCTTTTAAGAGAGATTTGTTAAATTTTTCCAGCTCAATACAGCTCATACAAATCAATTAATTTTGTTAATTAGCGAAATTAACAAAAGCCACGTGACTGTAACAGAGAAAAATACATGTTTCCTGAAGCTATTTATAATAAGGGACTTCTGTTGTATATTTCAGGTTCATCATTCTATTGTATATTACGTTTAAGCCGATAATTTAAATTGGATGATTGCTTTGAGATTTGTCTGTAATTTGCTTTAGCGCATTTTGTTATTTCTTAGATCTTGATTTGTACACACCGGCATCTTCATGGTAATCCTAAAAAAGGATCTGGTGAAATTTCTATGCGTCTCTCGAAGGAACTATGGAACCGCAATATCTTCATTCCTAATCGTTTTCACAGTTTTTCAATTGGAAAATAATAGCCACATGCTTCCATATGCGAATAATACACATTGCTATTAAATTTCCTGTTTGGAAAACCTCATTGCAGAAATGGTTTAGTTTATGACCGAATTCAATTACATTTTTTCTAATTTAAGATTCCTTATTTAACAGTGGCGTCGTATTTTGTGCGCTATTTTAATAGTGTCGACAACGAACATTTCTGGTTAGTGGAGCAGATGGTGCAAATTCAATTTGCTGCTCAGCAATTGATTATAATAATATAAATGGAATCAATTTAACTTGATGGAAACCAAAGCCGCCAAAATATGCAAACAAATATGAAAATTTAAAAGTAGATGTTTCTAAAAATGAACTTTTAACACAAAACAATTCAATAATCACCAAAAAATAACTTGAGGGAAAAATAATCTTGTAATTGTTAAATAATTTTTCTATTCTAAAGTAGAACAGATTTTATCTTGAAAATGAAAACATCCTGATAAGATATTGGCAAGTTAAACCAATCGCAAAAGCTTCTGATTTAAAATAGATTATAAATGGACCAACTATGAATAAGTATATTTATGTTTTCTAGACATAAATCAATTGACACAGCTAAAAAGAGCGATAATATTCAATATTACATACATTATATCGAATTTGGGTCATACGTCCAAATAGAAAAGCGAACAATAAGACGTCGAAAATGATCATCATAAATCATAGCGAAATAAATCTTGGCGATCTTCGAATAAAAATCGAAAATTCCAAAACAATCTTGCAGATTACATTGATGATTAATTGAATATTATTTAGGTTGAGATTTGCATCTCATTTTAACATCTTGGTGCTTTACTTAAATGTATATTGTTGTTAATTTAGTTGGTAACATTTTTCATGGTTAATCGATAGCAAAAAAATTAAAGAGACAAGCTAAATGGTTCGGTTGAAAAGATAATGAAAAATACTTGAACGAAATTTCAATAGATACTGTGAAAATATCAAATGATCATCTTGAATATAATGATATCTTGTCAAGATAATCTTTTTCAACAGCGTCACTTTCGGGGCATTTGCCACTTATTTTCGGGGGTAATTGCACAAGTGCTTCAAAATTACCGATAATTTTGCATGAAAGCTTGTTGTC